GTCATATCTTACATCCGACCAATCAGTTTATCAAAGAACCTGGGTCTCAACATGACAGAAAGAAAAGGCCCACTTTTTTCCCAAGAAGGACACTTATGTTTCCAGGCATTGTGTTATTTATCATCTCAGGTAGCCCTGGGCATTGAGGGAGAGTGACTTCTTAGTCATTCTCGTGAAAACCCTGTATCCCACCTCTGGAACATGTACCAGTGGTTAAGAACCACGGGTTTATAGTAAATCCTGCCTTTAGGTAGTTTCTTGTTCTCATTGTCAATTAATTCTGTCCTGTGGCATCATTCACTGGATGTCTTATGTGGAAGGAGTACATTGCTTTTAGTCTGTAACCCACCTTACCTCTCAGCAAGAAAGGTCAGTCGCAGGTCCATAATGAACAGCAAAGGCAAAGCTGGGAGCAGACCTGCATAGAGCAGAACCCAAGGCTAAGCAGGAGCATGGCCAAGGCCAGGCGTGAGGTCAAAGGTCAGGATCATCAGAGTAAGAGCTGTACTCACACTGCAGACAAGTTGCTCGGAGAATAACCAGAGCACAGCTCTGGTGCTGCTGGGCTCAGGTTCTGGATTCATTCCCCCAAAGCACCTGACACTGTTTAAGATGGTGGTTCCTTCTTTGGCCAAAGGATGGCCTGTATCTGTATCTACTATACTGGCCAAGAAAAATCAAGCTGAAGCCCAATGACACCATAAAGACTTAACAAAAATTCATTCCAGCGTAAGTTTTCACAGGTCAGGGTTCACTCCATCAGATGCTCAGAGTGTACATCCAGTGTGATCTGGCCTCAGTGATCCATGCTCTGACTACACCCAGGTTAGATTACTGTGATGTGCTTTACGTTCAGTCTTGTGGTGATCTGTGATTGCTCTGGTAAAGGGAGGGCTGAAAATGAATTTAATAGGTTCTCTTCAATTGAGTTTTCAGGGGGGAAATGTGACGATGGTACATTGCAAAAAGTGAGAGAGGTGGGCCCCAGTGCGTCCATCGGGTCGTTACTGAGAGGGTCATCAGCCTTCTTCATGTTCTTTACACTCTTGGGATCCTTTGTATACTTTGCGTCCTTTACAAAACCATGTTTTTTGTGAATTAGGAATAAGGGGCATTACAGTTAGGTTCTCAAAAACCCGAGCTGGAAAGATGACCCTGGAGTGCAAAAATTCTTTCTGTTGCATCATTGTTCTAGGACCCCTGGAGCTTCTGAAAGTAAGCATTACTCTTTGTGCTTGAATCTGATTATGAAATGGCACTGCCTGGATTAAATCTAGTGGAGGCTTTGCCTTGCCAAAAAGGGCTTTTAGATGGTGAGCAGCTTGTCGAGTTGAGTTCCATGACAGTGTCTGCGCTTTATATTTGCAGACTGTTATGCATATTTTGCAACCCTGCAGTTTTAGCTGGGATTGGGCTGCATCTGCTTGATATCTCCAGGAGGTTGCCTTTTCTCTGTTTGTTCTCCAAGACGTAGAAGTTGAATGTAGATGGTTTCCTGTTTGGGGGCTATCTGATATCTCACCAGAACAGTCTGAGACCATCTTGGTGAGTTGATTAATTTTAGCTTCAATTAGCTTAATTCTTTCAAAAATGACATCCACTAAATGGTTAACTGGATAAGATCCCCTGAGTTGTTAGAACCATTACTGGTGCTGGTGTCTTTAACAACTGTGCTGCCTTTGCTGTCTTCTCCGAGTAGGGTAAATGCCTCTCCCGTGTCTTTACTACATTGGTGTCAGGCAAAAAATTAACCAGAGGTGCGAAGCGGTTTGAAGTAGGAATAGTACAAGCATGAGGGGAAACATCTGAACCAAAGTAGTCTTCAATTTTCGCCTGCTTGCTGGCTGGCGGTGAGGGAAAATCCCCTCCATCGCGAGCCCTTTTACAGCCGCCCATAAAAAGGTTCAACAACTGTCTTTCCCTTTCCTTTTCTTATTCGCCAAGCAGTTCTCCAAGTAGAAAAGATTACAACTGTTTTCTTTACGCCAAGAAAAAAGAGAAAAGTATCTTAATCTGTAACTTGCTGTTACAGACCTTGGTGCATGTGGGAGGTGCCAGCCAGTGTTCCCTCTAAGCTGAGTTAGTGTGAGCGAGCTCACAGTTTATTAGCCTCCGGCTCACAGATTTTTGCCTTAGCTCAGGAAGGATGGCTCCAGAGCAAACTAGTTTATGCAGTAGCCAAATTGCTCACTCACAACTTTAATGCCAGGAGCTCACAAAGTAGAATTTTTGCAGAAAAGAACATTGATGTGGTATATGATCACAACTGCTAGAATGTCCTATGCACAGTGTTGGAAACAAGACAGAATCCCGGAAATTGGGGAATGGATAAAGAAATTAATATTCATGGTTGAAATGGACAAAATGACAAGGAAACTTAAGAACCTTGAGGCAGAAGAATTCTATGCAGATTGGAAAGACTTTAAAGAGTATCTAGAAAAATATTGGGATGTAAAGGACAATTTAATTTGCTTTGACAATTATTGAAAAGTTAATGTTATTAGATGAAAGTTAATTAAGAGAAAATACTACTAGAAAGAAGCATTATCGGTAGACTATGAATAGAAGATAAGTGGAAAATAGAAAAGAACTAAGAAATGGGCTGGAGGTTGGAGCACTGTGGGAAGCCAGAAAAGGGGGGGGGGAGAAGAAAGGATGTATAACAAAAAATAATATGTTGTATGTTTGAACTAATAATATATCCTAATAAATTGTTTTTTGGGGGAAAAAACAAAGTAGAATTTTTGCTCACAAGATTCGACATCTTAGAGGGAACATTGGTGCCAGCATAGAGGCAATAAAATAGCAGTTCCTGGTGAACGTCATGAGCTTAAAATATGATAAACAAACAAGCAAAAAAACACTGCTAATGAATCAGTCTTGGTTAAGCTCTTTTGAAGTCATTTAAAAGTCAGTAAAACAATTAAAAACCTTAAAATCCACAAAACACCAGGACGGCGTCTGCAGGTGCCACTCCCTCCCTACCCAGAGTCCCATACAGACAGTTGCAGCAGCAGTGCCACATGTGCTTTACGTGGGGCTGCCTTTGAAGGCCGTCTGAAAACTTCCACCTCATACAAAATGCGGCAGCCCGGCTACTGTCACAGGCAGCGTAGCGGTTTGAGTGCTGGACTAGGATCTGGGAGACCTGGGTTTGAACCCCCAGTTTGCCATGAAAACTTGCTGGGTCACCTTGGATCAGCCACACACTCTCAGCCTCACCTACTTTACAGGGTTGTTATGGGGATAAAATGGAAGAGAGGAGAATGAGGTAAGCCACTTCAGAGGCCCATGGGGGAGAAAAGCAGGGTATAAAATGAAGTTAATAAAATAAATAATAAAATATTGGGATTGTATGACCTCAGGGCTGAGAGATCATCACTGGCTGCCTATTTCTTTCCAGGCAACATTCAGACTGCTGATTCTCACCCCCTGCTCTCTGTGCTCCTGCCTTCAGACGAGAGGCGGATGGCAACCAGAGACAGGGCTTTATCAGTAGTGGCACCTTGCTTGTGAAGTGCCCTTCCCCTTGAGGCTGGCCTGGTACCAGCACTGCTTTTTTTCAGGCACCAGGTCAAAATGTGTCTGTTCAACCAGGCTTTTAACACCATTTTAGTTTGCTTTTAATCTGAAGTGGTTATTTGTTTTTATAAGCTACCTTGGGCAGGTTCCCTGGAGAAACAGCATAAAAATTAGCTAAATAAATAAATCCATAGCAGATACATTGTATATGTAAAGGTACAGGCAACAGAAAGGCAGAAGCAGGGAGATGATGGAAAAGAAGGCCTGTTACAAACAGTATCTGATCAAAGAGAATTCAGTCCATTCAGAGTGGGTGAGGGCCACTCCTAGGGTTGCCAAGTCCGGCGTTGTGCCACAGCGGGGGACTCCTAGCTGGCGGCTGGAGAGCGCGCGCACCGCACATCACCCGGAAGTGACGTGATGACGCCAGGCACGCTGGGGCAAGGCCACGACCATCCGAGGGAAAACCATAGAGTTTTCCCTTGGAATACCGTGGCCCCAACCCCAGCGTACCCAGCGTGGTTGCGTCACTTCTGGGTGACGCGCACATAGGGGTGGGGCTCCCCCCGGGGCCTGATCCGCCGGCGGCGGGGAACGGGCCTCTGGGGCAAGGGTTTCCCTGCCCCCCGGTGGGGATTTGGCAAGCCTAGCCACTCCCAGCCATAGAGATGAGTTGTTGTTGTTCAGTCGCACAGTCAAGTCTGACTCTTCGCAACCCCATGGACCAGCTCCCGCCAGGCCCTCCTGTCTTCCGCCATCCTCTGAAGTTGGCTCAATTTCATGTTCGTTGCATCGATGAGTAGAGTATAATAAACATTAAATGAGATCAATCAAGGAAACTGAAGTGTGAGGCATGAGAAGCAGAACTACTTAAAATCTATAAAGGTAGGGCTGCCAAATCTGGGTTAGGAAATTCCTAGAGATTTGGGGGTAGAGCCTGTGTAGGGCAGGTTTTAAGGAAAGGAAGGACCTCAGCAGGGAAGTAATACCATAGAGTCCACCCCCGAAAGCTGCTATTTCCTTCAGAGGAATTTATCTCTGTAATCTGGAGAGCACTTGTAATTCGGGGGAGGGGTGCCCCATGTGGCAGGATTTGAGTCCAGTAGCACCTTAAAGATCAGCAAGATTCCCAGGGTATAAGCTTTCCAGAGTCAAAGCTCCTTTCAAGCAGAGTATCTGACAAAGGAAGCTCTTTTGACAGTTGAAAGCTTATGCCCTGGAAATCTTGTTGGTCTTTGAGGTGCCCCTGGACTTTAAGCTTGCTCTTCTATGGCAGACCAACATGGCTGCCTGCCTGAAATGATCTACATAAAGGGTAGCCAAGAAAGTCTTCTTGTACCAGTACATGACATTTCATGAGTCACTATCTGAAAACAAATAAGCAGCCAACCATGAGTTACTACTTTATCTACTGCCAATTTCTGGTTTTATGAACTGTCTGAAGGCACTTACCTGCTGTTTCTCATTTCTTTCCCCAGGCTCAAGTGAGCAGGGCCTCCACAGACTTCTGCTGCCATGGACTGGAAGACCTTACAGGGCCTGCTGAGCGGGGTAAACAAGTACTCCACAGCATTCGGCCGCATCTGGCTTTCTGTCGTGTTTGTATTCCGAGTCCTGGTTTTTGTAGTGGCTGCTGAGCGGGTTTGGGGAGATGAGCAGAAGGACTTTGACTGCAACCACCGGCAACCTGGTTGCACCAACGTCTGCTACGACCACTTCTTCCCCATCTCCCACATCCGCCTGTGGGCCCTGCAGCTCATCTTTGTCACCTGCCCCTCGCTGCTGGTCATCATGCATGTAGCCTACCGCGAGGACCGGGAGAGGAAGAATAGGGAGAAGAATGGAGAAAACTGTCCCAAGCTTTATAGCAACACAGGCAAGAAGCACGGTGGCCTTTGGTGGACTTACCTCTTCACCCTTTTCTTCAAGTTAGCCATTGAGATTGTCTTCCTCTACATTCTTCATAGGATATGGGACAGTTTTGACCTGCCACGCCTGGTCAAATGTGTAGACTTGCCCCCATGCCCAAACATTGTGGACTGCTATATTGCACGGCCTACAGAGAAGAGGGTGTTCACCTACTTCATGGTAGGTGCATCTGCCATCTGCATTGTCCTCACTGTGTGCGAGATCTTCTACCTCATCTTCAAGCGGGTTGTCCGGTCAGCGCAGAAGTGGAAGAAGAACAAGAAGTCTCTCTCTTACAGCAAGGCGTCTACCTGCCAGTGCCATTTGCGATTGGAGCAACCGCTGGATGGAAAAGTAAAGCTGACACCCTCGGAGGCCCTCAGAGCCTCTGCCCCTAACTTGACTTTAATTTGAGGGGATGGGAGGAACCCCAGATGGCTGGCTGTTGTTAGGATGGTTCCACTTTAGGAGACACAGGATGGGGGAAGATGGTTTGGAATGGAGGCCACCCCTCCACAAAACATTGCCAACAGATTCTTCCACCAGGGAGCACCACCACCATGTTGCTGAAGTTTAAAGACTAGGACATAGTCCTCCTCACATTCTGTTTACATGAAGCCATAACTGCTCTTGAGATAAAATGCATGGCTCAGACATTCCAGCGTAAAATGTGGTTTGTGTACCTCTGGAGGATGTGGTTTGTGTACCTCTGGAGGATGTTGCAACCTTTTTAAATCCTAAAAAATATATGCATTCCAAATTGTTTTCTTTCCCTGTCTTGTAAAGATAGGACTAACAGATAGTTGCTAAGAGAGCTATAACTGTCTAACATGTGCTGCGGTCTTCAGAAGACCCCAAAGAAGATGTGGGTCTGAGCTTTGGTTCCTTCTGCTGACTCATATCAATATTTATAGAGTGCTTCACAGGGCTGCTAAAGCAGGACTTAGATAGTTAATTAGAAAGATTGATGGAGCAAACCTCATTTGGCTTTCCTTCCCCTGCAGGCCAACCTTCTCCAAGAGAACCAAGTCCTCGATGTCCAAAACCCAAAGCCATATAACTCAACTGGACATGTCTGTGGATCTGCTACCAAACTTTCACCTGAAGGGGGACAAAGTATCTGAGACATTTTGACAGAAGCCAAAAGAGCTGCCATAGGTCAAATGTATTGTGGAAAGGAGAGGACTGGCTCATTGCTACATAATGTACGCTTGTGTTCACATGAGTATAAACAGCATTAGATGACACCACCTTATTTCTGAACTGTCTACACACTGTTTATATGGAAGACCATGTTTCACCAAAAGGAAGGCTTATGAGTTCTTTGCTGTGCTTTCTTGGGAGGAAGTAAATTCTCCTTCCTGTGGTATAACAGGAGCACCCTGGGAAGAAATGAAGAGGGGTTTACTCTGGTAGCAGTTAAACTTGCCTCTGGAAACAGAGCCTAAAGTGAAATTTGAAACAAATTAGAGATGTTCTGTCTTAGGGGAGATAGGGTTTCCAGCTGCTCAGAGAAATAATGTTCTGTCCTTTTGATACAGGTTTAATTGGATGTTATTTACCTGATGACATTATTTACCTCTATGCCATGAGAAATTTCCACTGCCAATTTCTACACATTATGGTTGAATCTGCATTTGAATTTTTAAATCAGTTTCGTGCTCCTGTGACGCCGTCTTTCTCTATGCATGATTGAATGTTGTTTGGAGAAGATTCTTTTAAAGCAGTGCAGAGGTGCAATGACAGTGGAGCTGCCCCGAAAGGATGATAAACATATGTGGATGTGCAAAAGTATGCTAGCACTGTTGAAGTGTGAAAACAACACCAAATGTAGACAGCTTTTTTGAAGACGGAGTCAAAAGGCTGGGACACCGGTGGGAAAGACAAATGCAGATTCGGTCTAAGCCATAGTTAAGTGTACTGGACATTTTTCCAGGGTTGCCAAAAAAAACCCAACAGTGGGGGCAGGGAATCACCTGCTCCCCACCTTGGAGCAGTGGTGGAAGAAAAATAAAAATGGCCACCAGGCCACCAGCCAGCATCACTTCTAGAGAAAATCCAGAAGTAACAGGAGTCCTCTCTAGGAATCACTGGAAACTCTCTGGTAAAACCATAGAATTGCCATCTGGCAACCCTGTTGGCAAACCCTAGAAAGAATTTCAGTGGACGCTGAAAGACTTAAAAAAAAAAATAAGAAAAGGAACATTCTTGGGGGGGGGGGGGTTGTACAAATCTTGAGGCAACAAAAAAGAGCTGGCCTAAAGTGAAATTTGGATGTTCCTCTATCAATAAAACATCTAAGGAACAAAGAAGGAAGGGAAAAAAGTTGTAATCGAACTACAGAAATTTACATTGCTTTCCCCCCCCCTCCCACCACTCAAAGTGGCAGCAGGCAAAGCAGAAGGCCTCCTACAGTAGTTGGAGGCCCTACTAATGTTAACAGCAAATAGCAGTGCTTTCGCTCCACGTGTCTTTTGTACAGCAGGCAGATCAGGCAGAGATTGTTTTTAAAATCTGCCCACGGCAATTTGCTTTTCTTTATATAGGGCATGAAAGAAATATTCAGATTTGCGAATTCTAGCATACAAATCAATCTTTTTACAACAGGGATAAACCACACATCAGCGGTGCATCTGAAAGGGGCTATATATACCATTCTAAATTGTATTCAAAAAAAGCTCCTTAGCTGGCAGAGATTGGCCAAGCCTAGGGCTGCGTACTAGGGCTGATAGAGTTGTTAAGAGATATTCTCTTTACCCAGTTTCTCCCTGCAGTCCAACAACTTGTTTCTTCTCCCTTTTTAAAAAAGAATTTGAGTTCTGTTTCAAATCAATTCTATTCTATTCAAGAGAAATTTGAAGCTGGGGGAGCAGGAAGGAGGGGTTCTACAAAATGTCAGAATTTCACTCTGCAGATGCTTAGAGGCAGGCAATGTCTTCCAAAACCTTACTAGCCTCCTATTAGAGCACCTATGGAATGTAACATTCCTGCAAAGGATTAAATTACAAAGGGGTGCATAGAAGCATAAGAAAAAACTACAAAGAGAAATGAAAGATACATTCTTCTTTGGAAAGAGCATAAGATCTGTCCAAAAAAGGTGAATTTTGGAAAAAGAAATTCTGCTCCCCATAATTATGCAAACAGGGTCTCAGGAAGAGGTATTTTTCATCCCTGTCATCCGTGATCCTTTATCTGGGGATGCCAAGGACTGAACCTGGGATTTTCTGCATGAAAAGCACAGGCTTATCTACTTACATAGTAGCCATCTTCTCAAAGTTAGAGGCACAGGGCTCTTGTCTGGCCCTCCACTTACCCAAAGCTTTGGTGATGTTCGTAGCATCTAAGAGAGCTAGTGGACCAAGCGTTCATTCGAGAGCAAGGAAACTTTGCCCAGCTATTAAACTTTGTTTAATCAAGATTTCATGCTTGTAAACATTCTTTCAGCAACCACGGAAAGAAAAGCTTATCCTTGTGCACTGAATACATTCAGTCAACTCTCTATTGCTAGAATTTATCATCACTCATAGCCAAATAGCAGCATTAACAGTGGCAATTGTTTCCATAATCACCAACCACTTTAGTGCCCCAAAATTCCAACAGAACTTACTGCAACCTTTGTGAGCCCTTTCTTGTAAGTACAGAATAATGATTAATGAGATTTTTTTAAAGGTTACATAGAGAGCTCAGAGGTTAAGGCATTGACCTGCACACCGGAAGGTCTGTAGTTTGGCAGTTTGAGACCCTAGTGCCGTGTCACGGAATGAGCTCCCATCTCTGGCCCCAGCTCCTGCCAACCTAGCAGTTCGAAAGCCAGAAACTGCAAGTAGATAAATAGGTACCACTTTGGTGGGAAGGTAACAGCGTTCCGTGTGCCTCGGCATTTAGTCATGCCGGCCACATGACCACGGAAATGCCTTTGTACAGTGCTGGCTCTCTTTGGCTTGGAAACGGAGATGAGCACCGCCCCCTAGAGTCGGATTCGACTAGCTTTCGAGCAAGGGAAACTTCTACCTTTACTTTAGAATAAGAATGTATGCTCCATTTCAAAACAAAACAGAATCTACTAGCAAACAGATTGGAAAAGCAGATTCTTCATTTTCAAGAACTCTGGATTGGAAAAATCCTGGCAATTTGGGGGTGGAGCCTGGGGAGGGCAAAGTTTGGGGAAGGGGAGCAGACTCAGCAGGGATGTGATGCCACAGAGTCCACTCTCTGAAGCTACTGTTTTCTCCAGGGGAACTGATCTTTGTAGCCTAGAGATCTGTTGCAATTCCAGGAAAATTCCAGGACCTACCTGGAGGTCAGGCACCCCTATGAATGCTGCCCGTAAAAAGACCTCTAGAACTCTGCATACACCATCTAAATCTTGAACCTGCTTTCCTGAGTAAAATTGCCAACATTTCCCCTCTTCCTGAGCCTTTAATTACCAACCTGAAGTAACTTTAGTTCCATACCGGGAAGTTTGTTCTGCTATAGTTCCATATGTCTGTCAGGGGAAAGGGTGGCACAGTAGCGAGAATATTGGTCTGGGGAAACGAGAGTTTGAAGCCTCTCTCCGCCATGAAGATGGGAGACTTTGGGCCTCTCATACTCTTTCAGCTTAACCTGCTTCACAGGGTTGATGTGGAATAAAGAGGAGAAAAGACTTCCATGTATACCACCTTGAGCTCCTTGGAAGAAGGGTGGTAGAACAATATAACAGACAGGAGAAGGGGGCCACAAAAAAGGTGGCAACCAATGTTCCCTCTAAGATGTGGGGTCTTGTGAGCAAAAATTGTACTTTGTGAGTTGCTGGCATTAAAGTTGTGAGTTTGGCTACTGCATAAATTAGTTTGCCCTGGAGCCCTCCTTCCTGAGCCGAGACAAAAATGTGTGAGCTGGAGGCTAAAAAACTGTGAGCTAGCTCACGCTAACTCAGCTTAGAGAGAACACTGGTGGTAACCCTAATCCTTAGTTGTACTATGGATGAACTAAAATGAGCTCACATTCCCAGTGCTGAAGGAAACCTAGCCCCAAGGGACAGGAAAAGTAGTGAACAAGCCCGCACCTGAATCAATCTTCCATTTGTCCTGGACTGTTCCCACCCTCCCAGATAAACAGTTCATGATTTTATTTTTCTTTTGCTCTGTCTGGGTTCATTCCCTGCTGAAAACAAAGAGAGCACTGATGAGACCTGTTCTTCAAAACAGTTTGCAACCTCTCCATGAGTCAGATGGGGGGGGGGGGAGAGACCATGAATCAATGTGGCTGTTTAGAAATATATTCTGCACACGCAAATGGAATGAAAAGGGGGAAGGCCAAAGGAACAAGTTCAGGGAGAAAAACTTTGGCTGAATCAGGTCTAAGGCAAGGAACGGTTGGGAGCAGAAGCTGAACCAGATCAGGTGCAGCAGGCATTCAACCGTCGGCAGATAGGGGTGGGGGGCAGTCAGTTTGGCTCAACAGGCTGAAGGAACTGTTTGCAGGAGGGCAAGAAATGTTAACATCCTAAACAGCTCAGTTAGCCTGACCTTGTCAGAGTTTGGAAGCTAAGCCAGGTCAGTCCTGGTTAATACTTGGATGGGAGACATCCAAGGAAGACGGGTTGATATGCAGAGGCCTGGAACTTGCCATGGGCTTGCCATGAATCAGTTCCAACTTAATGGCACATTCTTTGTCTTCAAGAAATATTACATTGCATAGGTTTGCCAACCCTAGGTTGGGAAATTCCTGGAGATTTGGAGGTGGAGCCTGGGGAGTTTGATCTTTGGGGACCTCAGTAGAGTATCATGCCATAGAGTCCACTCTCTAAAGCAACCATTTTCTCCAGTGGAACAAAGCTCTATAATCTGGAGATCAGTTGTAATTTTAGATCTCCAGGGGCCCCCCCCCGAAGGCTGGCATCCCTAATAAACCTATTGGATCTGGGGTCTCCAGCAGTCAGACAAGTTGGAGGTTGTCCTGTGTGATTAGGATAAAGACCATAGAACACACAGAGAAGGGGCTTCAGCCTTCCCATTTGCACTGTTTGCTCAGCCTGAAAGTCCCATGTGTCCCCTGGGTTTCCCCAACATGCCTGTTACTCTGCCACCCTGGGATGGTCTTGGGCTCTTTTTGTAGCAGGAACTCCTTTGCATATTAGGCCACATCCCCCTAATGTAGCCAATCCTCCAAGAGCTTACAGAGCTCTTCTTACAGGAGCTACTGTAAGCTCTTGGAGGATTGGCTACATTAGGGGTGTGTTGCTTAATATGCAAATAAGTACCTGCTACAAAAAGAGCCCTTAGGCTAGGAAAATGGGGTAGGGGGGAAGGCTGAAGCCCCTTCTCCACATGCACCGTGATCCTGATCAGATCCAAGCACCACATGCACAGGAACTGAAGAGAACCCTCAACTTGCGGTAGAGACTGACACAGGGTGGGGATGTAACTGCAGGGGGCTCTCAGCACACGTTCCCCCTCTCTACCGCCAAGTTCGCCCTCTTCTACACAGAGGTTTATGACACCCACCACTTTAAACACAAATACAAGTTTTGTTAAGTCCGTGCTTAACAATAATAGTCAGAGAGTGATTCAGCAAAACTCAAGTTTATTCAGCTCTTCAATCGACTTCTTCTGACACGGTACAACTCCTCATAGCCCGAACAGCTTGTCCATTTCAGCTGCTCGGTATTTAAACATTCCGGGCTAA